GAATACGTCACAGGAAGCTTGCCAGGATTTGCCGTGTGGGCAAGATACTCTCGGTATCTTTCAGTTTCATCTGTCACTGTCACTGTCCTCCTGTTGTTCATCATGGGTACTTACCAGGCTCTGCTGTGGGGGTAAGATACTTTTGGTAGCTTGCTGGGCTCTCTGTTAGGACCTGAGGAATCGAACTCGGGTTGGCCATGTTGGGCTGTGTGCAAAGCAACTGCCCTACCGCTGTGCTATCGCTCCAGCCCATTTTAGTTTCAAACAGAAAAAATAAAAGTGTTGGCTATATAGTATAGAGGTTATCATATGCTTTCAAGTACCCAAAATAGTTTTATGCTTCTGTTATTGTTTGGTTTTCAAGTTTCTCAAAATGGAGACGTTACTGATGCCTGCTCAAGCAAATCAATGAACAACAGGATAACAATGATACACACACACACACACACACACACAAAGTTAGTGACTTAGTTTTTATATAAAATAAATGTGGGAATTTGGTCGATGGCTGAACACCAAAAGATGGTTAAGTACGATAAACTCAAGATAAGCATGGTTTTTGTGGCATACCATGGGCTACTAGTCTTTCACTCTGAGGTACCCTCTGGAGGGATGCAAGGCCAAGTTCCATGCTGCAGAAGCCCTGGCAGCTGTGCTCATGCCCCAACAGTTGCACCTTGTCAATGGAGAACTCCATTGCCTCATAAGCTCTGTAGAATGGCAAGCTGCTGAAAATTCCAGGCACACTGATCTTCAGGCTTAGAATTCTAGGGTCTTCCTAGTGTGGAGGCAGACAACATCTCCCATCACCATGGACTTCTGGGAGGCCTGACAGTCACAACCATGTCTCACAACCATGCTCATGGAAACAAACTGCTCAGTTACATGTCTTGGAGTTTCTGAAACACGTGACCATATTTGTGACTGTGCAACTTCTCCAAATTTTACAATATTGACATCCTAAAAGTAGCACGTTACATGGAAAGTAACATCAAAGCCAACTAAGCTCCACAACAAAAACATTAACACAGATGGCTCAACTAGCAACAGACAGTTTCGTAAACCCTTAGACAAGGACTTAATGACCTCCTGATGAGGCAGAACAATTTTCTTTCATTGAAATATTTTTTGATAATTTCATTAGCCATTTAGTTGCACCAAGCTATATACAATGTATAATGTTATGCCTTCGAAGGGGCCAGGCATGAGGGTGGTTTGGAAAATTGAGGCAGTGGTAGAAGGAAGGTCATACTGGTATTAGGATGGGTATTCAAATAATGAAAACCTGTAACAACTGTGTCATGGCAACTTTGTAAATCAGTATTTACATAAATGGGAATTTTTTTGAACAAAATATAGGGATCATTCAGAATAATGACCTTATATTCACTCCAAATCATGTGTTATGTCTTTTTTTGTTTGTTTATTTGTAGGAGTACTGTTATTCATTCAGCCACTGATTAGCTGATTGAATTGGGCATGAATTCCACCCAAATTATGTATTATGTCTTTATTAAGGGTTATGATATCCAAGTGTGAGTCATTGATAATAAAAACTTGCCACAGACATAATGTAGATGCTGTCTTTGCAAACATTTTTTAAAAACTTTACTTACAGCTAGTTTGCAATATATACCACAGAGAACAATGTATGCCTGTGTTTTCCTGAATTTAGTGAGCAAATCTATATTGAATGATGAAAAAGATCTACAGGTTTCTGGTGGCATCAGACAATAGGAAATAAATCTGTTCCCTGAGAACATTTGAATTGAGATATTTAAATGTTGGTTTTAAGGCTGTTGAACTCTTGACAGAGGTACACAATAAAATACAGGGAATATAAAGATATAACATAAAATTTATCAACATGATTTTATTTATTAAATGTATCAGATCTCATACCAACGTTAGCTGTCTGAAGGATTGGTATGTATTAGCGAGACCAGAACTGTCATTTCACAAATTAAGAGAAACAGGAATTAGAGGCTGGGGGGGTAATACAGAAGTTCAGGTGCTGACCTTATATGCAACCAGCACTCTGTGTCCAGCACCACATATGGTCCCTCACATATGGTCACTGCGAGAACTGACCCCCGAGCACAGCCAAAAGTAAGCCATGAGCACAGTCAGCAGTGCCCCCCAAACAAAGAAGAGCCCGGCAAGCTACTGAGAGTATCTCGCCCAGACGGCAGAGCCTGGCAAGCTACCCGTGACGTATTCCATATGCCAAACACAGTAACAACAAGTCTCATGATGGAGACGTTACTGGGCCCGCTTGAGTAAATCGATGAACAGCGGGAGGACAGTGACAGTGACATTATACTGTAGAAAGATTTGGCTCAATATGAGGAGGAAATTCAAAATGCTTCTTCTGGTTAAGTCCTAAATGTATAGCCTTAAAAATTAGATCAAGTCCTATAACTATTGAGATATAGGAGCATGACAAACTACATTATAGTAAAATAATATTTTAATTGGGTAAAAGAGTAGCTGTGTTGATTTCTAAAACTTCTTCTGATTCCAAATGCTATAAGCCTATAATAATATCTAAATTATAATATTAAATTGCAAAGTCAAAATGCCTCTGCTCTGTGGTGATAAATTAATAGGCATAGTATCACAAAAGCAGCAAATGCTCTCTATTATAATATTACAAAAATTAGCACATCTTGTTGTATGTTTCTGAATCTAAAATAGAAATCACACTCTACACTCTCCCAGCCTGAAGACTAATTCCCCCACACAAGGTACCAGGGAACCCAGGTCTCTCATTTAGTCACCACTCCATAACGTTATTGTCAAAATGACCATCCTGACACACTTACACCACTAGTCATTGCTACACTCAATATACAAGCTAAGATACGGAATCCATCTAGGACAGAATTCATCCAATGACAGATGAATAGATTTGAAAGATGTGGTAGAATACTATGCAGCTTCAAGGAGTGTTGAAATCATGCAATATTCCGTGATGGAACTGGAAGGTAAGTTCAGTGAAGTAATCCAGAAGACAAACACAGGGTAAGCTAACTTATCTGTGGTATATAGAAAACTGAATGAGGAGACGTAATGCACTTAATAGGGGTGCCTAGGTTATCATGCAACCCTATGTTGAAGAGGAGAAGTATGGAGAAGGAAGAAAATCAAGGGAGTAAGTAGAAAAGTGGAACTAATGTGTGTACAGGCATCAGGGCTTCCATTACAGCGGTGATATGAGAGAGTGGTATAGTGACATGCCCAAGACACAGACTCAACAACATTGAAGACATGAGATCTAAGCTACAGCCACTGAAACTTTGTAATGTGCCTGTCAAGTTGACAGGCGGAAGTGGGTGGGGGTTGGAGTGGGGGGGTTTGTGGGGACACTGGTGGAGTTAACTAAAGCTTACATGGATATAGAAAAATCTGAGCAGTCGTCCAGCGAGTCTAGAAGAACAGAATTAGGAAAATTAGAATACTAGAATAAACAAGGACTGTTAAACTGCAGTGGATCGGCAGAGTTTGATATCAGTATGAACAGTTCCAATGAACAGACTAGAACTCCCATGCCTATATTGTGTATGATTTCTGACAAGGTGTTCCAAAAATTCACCGAAGAAACAAACTGATATAAGCAATGATACTGAGTCACTTGTCTTTGTGTCTTTGTAAGGGGAAACTAGATTGTCTTCATACCTGTGGAAAAATTGCTTTTTCCACAGAATTGTTCTACTACTCCAAAGGTCAAAATTTTATTTTCAATCATTTTGCATTTTTCTTAGACATTTCCCTTGTGAATTTAGTTGTGAGGTATAAGCCAGTGTATTTTATATTTTTTAAGCCTGTTCAATTTTAATTTTATTTATCTGCTGACTATCCAAAGTAATTTATTTCCATTTTTTATTTTAATTATAAGTGGTCTTTTGTCCATTCTTCAGAGCATAGAAATGAGATAAATACATGCTTTGTTACCTGTGAAGGGGGATATTTTTCTCTCTCCTTTTATACAATTCATGATTTTTATTCTCTTTTGCATTGCTTTGTCATTTTCTTTGTTTATTTTGTGGATAACTATATTTCTCCATGTGAAAACTTAATCAGTAAGTTCATGTATTATTCTTTCATTCCATTTTTTTCTGATGAATCCGTCAATGACATTTTCAATTTTGGTCAGAGTATATTTGTCCAGATAGGCAGTAGCTTTAATTTATTAGAGTTTGGAAGTCAAAATAATGCTAAAATGTATTGTATTGATTTATGAACTTGAAAACCCCACCAGAGTAATGTAGTTATTAAAATTATCCTTTCATTTTATTAGCATATGTACCTATTAATATATCTCAATAATGACATAAGTTTACATCTCTTTATTATTATTTATTCATTTGAACTTTTACAAGCATTTATATCAGATGCTCTCACCATTACATTGTTATATAAATATTTCTTTCCCCAAACTTGCAAATTAATCCATTTTATCTGAAGAGGCCAAGTAAGTGGAAAAATGAAACTTTCACAAAGACTGCAACACAACTGACTGGAGAACGAAATTGTTGATTGAAGACAGTTGAAGTAACAAATGGCAAAAAATACTAAGAATTATGACAAGTTTTGTCAATTCTTATATTACACATTATTGTATGTTATTTTTTAGAAATGTCCAATGACACTATTGTATATTAGGTATAAACAAATGAGCAATGAATCCTATACATGGTATTTTCCATCATCATTACACAAAATAATTAGGAAAAGAAATCAAGTTGACATCTTAAACATCACGAAACTTACATTATTTTCACACACAAGGTGAGTATAGTAAGGCTTAAATTAAGATATCCACAGGAGTAATTTTTAAGTAGTACTTATGTACTCCTGGGACTAAACAATTCTGTTACTCAAGTAGCAGAAAGCAAAAGTTGTATAAATCACAAAATACTGGCAATTTTAGGAATTATTGATTAAAAGCCAAGATATATTTTGAATTTGTCTCACAATTGAGAATGAATAGAAGTGTCTCAACACAAGAGGTATGCTACTCTTCTTTGAAAAACCTTACTTATAGCCGACTTGATAGCATTATTTCGCAGACTGTAGATCATTGGATTGAATGTTGGGGGAACAACTGTATAAAGGATAGTAAGGAAAATGTCTAAAGCAGTTGGAGATTCAGAATGAGGCTTGAAATACTCAAAGGAACCTGTAGAAAAAAACAGTATGACCACAGCGAGGTGGGGGAGGCAAGTGGAAAAGGCCTTGGCTCTGCCCTCCGCAGATGGCATCCTCAGCACGGAAGAGAAGATGTGCACGTAGGAGAACCCAATAAACAGGAAACAAAGAAATAATATCAGAGCCACGAAGGCAATGACCCCAACTTCACCCAAATACTCATTGGAGCAGGAGAGTCTCAGGAGCTGGGGGATATCACAGAAGAACTGGTGAATGATGCGGGGGCCACAGAAGTGGATGGAGAAAGTAGCTGCCGTGTGCATGACTCCAGAAACGACCCCACAGACCCATACACCGGCGACTCCCTGGACACAGGTTCTGACGTCCATGATGATGTCATAGCGCAGGGGAAGGCAGATGGCCACATAGCGGTCATAGGACATCACCGTGAGTATGAACACCTCAGTAGAGCAACAGACAATGAAAGCAAAGCACTGCACTATGCATTCCCAAAGGGAAATATTCCCACTATGCATGAAAGAGTTGTAAACAAATTTCGGCACGGTCACGGAAATGTAGCAGAGATCCAACAAGGAGAGATGCTTCAGGAAGAAATACATGGGGGACTGGAGACTGTCATCCAGGGAAGTTGTGGTGATGATGAGCATGTTGCCAGTTAAAGCCAACAAATAAAGGACTAAGAGCAGAGAAGCATACAAGATTTCTAGCTCAGGCTTGGCAGAAAACCCAAGGAGAAGAAACCCATTCAACGTGAAATTCGTCATGGTTCTGCTGTTGGCTGTAAGACACGATAGACAATTTTAGTAAGTAAGTAAGTAAAGGCCCTCCTGTTGATCATCGATTTGCTCGAGCGGGCCCAGTAATGTCTCCATTGGACACTTTGTTGTTACTGTGTTTGGCATATCGAATACGTCAGCGGGAGCTTGCCAGGCTCTGCTGTGCGGGCGAGATACTCTCGGTAGCTTGCCGGGCTCTCCGAGAGGGGCGGAGGAATCGAACTCGGGTCGGCCATGTTGGCTGCGTGCAAGGCAAACGCCCTTCTGTTGTGCTATCGCTCCAGCCCAGACAATTTTAAATAGATGTTTTTAATAACACCAGTGAAGAAGCAGAATATGTAGTGAAAAACTTCTTCACTATAAATAGAGATTTTTTTGTAGTGGTAACCATACTGACAAATTTACATTGTCTTTGTGCAAGAAATGAACACTCTGAAGATTATTAACGTTAAAATTTCTATTTCAATTTTAAACAGAAAAAAATAATGAAAAGATCATCGGTGATAGAGTAAAGAGGTTAAGTCATATGCTTTCAAGTACCTACATGATTTTATGCTTTTGATTTTGTTTTTGTTTGGTTTTAAAAACTCTCATTGGTGCTGGGTGCCATTCCCAGCTCACTTCCCGGGGGTTTCTGAGAACCAGTTGAGAAAGGACAAAGTTTGGGATTTCTTCATGCAAAGCACTCTCTTTTCCCCAGCTGGATTTGATTCCTTGCACCAGGCAGTTTCTGAGCCTTCTCAGAGAACCCTGGAAGTCTTCGAGCCCTGCCAGACTAGTTCCTTTTTTGTCAGCATGGCAGGATTCCTGGGACACCTCACTCTTGGGTCTGAGTTCTGAACTGCCAGCCTGGTTAGACAAATATCAAGGGATTTGCCCAGGGGTTGCCTGAATGCATATTATGTAGTTTCATCTAGCATCCCTCAAAGAAAACACAAATATGCACATGGAAATATGGTATAGAGCTGAGAATTTCTCTTCATGTACCAGATTAGGACCAGTTTAGTTCCTTATTAGGTCCCTGGTACCACATGCCTCCTCCAAAAGCATTGCTGGTCATGAGGACCATAAGCACTTCTGCGGGAGCATAGTTGCTCCCTGGTATTGGAGGACCCAGCAACACTGCACCCTCAAGTCCTAGAATTAAAAGGGTTGATAAGGACAAAAGTGATCATTTTACTCCATAAAATGTTTCTGCAGTGAGAGAGTTTCATGATCATGATCATCTTGTTGTTCGTCTATTGCCTCGAGCAGGCACCAGCAACGTCTCCTTCTTCCCAGCCCTGAGATTTTTAAAGAGCCATATTCAATGCTCTTTCAGGGTTAGGAGAATGAGACCCATCATTGTTACTGGTATTTGGCATATTGAGTATGACACGGGAAGTTTGCCACACTTTGCCATGTGGGTAGGATGCTTTTGGTAGCCTGCCAGGTTCTCCAAAGGAAAAATGAGATAATAAGATGCATCCAGGAGCTGGGTTTTATAGTTTCTGCATCTTGGCCGTTGATGGGACAAACCTTGGGCTGGCGGCAGCTGGGGGGGTGTGACGCCTACCTACTGAAAGATGGGGGATCTGGGTGGAGAAGGCCCAGTTCCAATCTGAGCAGGCTCGGAGATCTCAGCCCCAAAGACCCACACACCTGGGTTCGTCTGCCAGTTCCTTCATGCATGAGGCTTGTCCGGACGTGCGGAGAGTGGTCTCAGTATGGTTGTGGTTGGTTCTGGAGGTTTTCAGCTGCTAGGGCTCTGCTCGGGGTGGGGGGAACTCAACCCGCCTCCCTCTAACAGGCCCCGGTGAGGACAGCCAGGCAAGGAGCCAGGAGACTCTGAGAGTTTATCTTCCAATTTTTAATTAAAATAATGTTTTTTGGGGGGCTGGAGCTATAGTACAGCTGTAGGGCATTCACCTTACGTGCAGCTGGCCTGGCCGAGCCAGGTTTGATTCCTCTGCCCTTCTTGGAGAGCCCGGCAAGTTACCGAGAGTATCCCACCTGCACGGCAAAGCCTGGCAAGCTACCCGTGACATATTCGATATGCCAAACACAGTAACAACAAGTCTCACGATGGAGATGTTACTGGGCCCACTCGAGCAAAATCGATGAACAACGGGAAGACAGTGACAGTGAATGTTTATTTATGTATTTTGGCTTAAAAATTCTTCAAAAAAACATGAGATTTGTTTTATGCCCTCAAAATTTTATGGGCATTCCATTTTAGCAATACAGCTCATTTTCCACAACCTAAGGGATGTCACCTGAGCACAGCTAGAAATTTCTTACCTCCTCATAAGGACAAGCTGCCAGGCTCAGAAGCTGAAACTTAGATGGATGTCATAGCTCTGCCACTCCGTTCCTTTCAATAGAATGTAGACTGTGGAGAGGAAAACCCTGGTCCATTTCAATCCTTTGGCCATTTGGGGTTAGATGGAACGTGCCTTTGTCTGCTGCAGAGATCCTGGGTGCTCTGGGTATTGGCAATTCTGTGCAACACCCTGGGGTCCAAACTTGGAATTCTATTGGGTTTTCTTGCAACACACTTTTCTGTTGAAGTGATTTTAATTACCATACCTAGTTACTGGAAGTATAACTTTTTCTGTGTTTATTGAATCACATAAATACATTACAAGTTGTGTTTTGGTTATAGAATATGCCACAAGACAAATTAATTTCTTTAATTAAGTTTATTAACAGTATCACAATTTAATTTATAATTTGAACTTGGGATAATACCCAGACTTGTGCTTGCCTTTTTTTAAAAAATGGGGCATAAAAATGAATAATTTATGGCCTATTAAACGAGGAAGTTTTATAGTTGTTTTTACTTGTAATATTTTATATTATAGATTTGTTGACATTGTTATAGTAGTATTAAAGTTTAAAGCAGTATGTGCAAATTTATTGCCTCTCACCGAAGCATCCAAGCAAAGTGTCTTATACCCTCCACTGTCCCTATGTGACCTATAATCTGCCTTTTTCTTCTCCATCTCTCCCCACTTTCTGGTAATCTGACTTTTGTAAAGCAAGGTCAAGATTTTCTCATTGTTCCATCTACTCCAATATTATTCTGCAATCTTGGCCTATCTTTCAGTATACCACAGGTAAGTGAGATCATGGGTTTTTTTATTTGACCTCTGACTTAATTCATTTATATACCTTACAATTCCATCGACATTGAAATCAACTATCTGATTTCAATTTTTCTAAATTCTGCCCAGTATTGCATTATCTATATAATAACTTCTGTATCCATTCTTCTCTTATTAGACATTTGAGTTGTTTTAAGTCCTGCCTATTGTACTAATCATTGCAATGAAATATTTGTGCTTAGTTATGATATGAATGGGTTTTTTTGTTGTTGCATGGGGTAGATGTTGAGAAGCTGAATTGCTGAATCATATTTGAGGTCTATTTTTACTTCTTTGAGGAAGATTCATGATACTTTGGATAGACACTGAAACTGACAACATTTCAACAAACAGTGAATGAGTGTTCCTGTTTTACAGCACTACTTCAAAATTTTAAAATAGATGACACTGTCACATATGTGATATGTTATCTCACTGTGATTTTATTTATTTATTAATTAAAATTTTTTTTTGCATTTCCCTCATATCAGAGGACAATGAGAGTACTTCATTTCTGTGGGTCATCTGTATGCCCTCTTCAAGGAAGTGTCTGTTTATTATTTTTATCATTTTAAAAGAGAATTTTGTTACTTTTACTTTTGAGCGTTTTGCTAGCATAATACATAATGGATATTAGCATTTATCTAAATTAGTTGTGCAAACTTGTTCTTATATTGTACAAGGTGTCTTTTCATTTTAGCCAGTGCTGATTTTTGGCCATAGAAACCATTTTTAATTTGATGTGGCTTATTTATTTACCATTATTTTATTTATTTTTTAAATCACTTTAAAATAATTGATAAGTTTGGGGGGGGTTATAGGCTGGACAGCTCTGGATATATTTACCTGATATATATTTAATGAATTTTGTTCCAATACTATGTTCTTTTATCATAGTTAATTGCAAAAGATTGAAAGATTGAAATCAGGCACAATACAAGAATGATTCCTTTATCAAGCTGTAATCAGTATATCGCAGATCCTTGTCACAACAATTAGGGAAGAAAAATAAATCATTGAGATCCAAATGGTAAGAAGACAAAGAGAATATCAGTATTCACATATGTCATGATAATATACATACAACAAATTAGAACACATGATGAAAGGAAAAAAAGTAAAAAAATTTAAATATGTGGATAAATGTCTAATATAAGGTTAATCTTACAATGGGGAGAATGTATTCAGAAGACTAAATACTAACATTTCATAAAAAAAATTAAAATAGAACATCAAAGTATCCAAACATCAAATTATCTCTTACATACTATACCTTCATAGATACTCTCTTCTAAATCACAAAATTTTTCAGTATGATCCTGTTACAGGTCACGAGATTGGAGCTGGAACATTGTAGGCCTGAGACTGTATTGTTAACGTTTATAAATAATGGTTCCTCAAAAATGAATATATAAAGTAAAATCCTGTTTTTCTGTTGCTTTCCAGATTATTTTTCTACTTAAATATTTATTCCTTGTGACTATCCAGAGTAAGCAGTAATCTAAAGAGGCAAAGCCAATGGTGGATGGGATGTTTTCAGGGAAAGTCTTGCATTGGGAGAAAGTTATGGAGATCTGAATGACTAGTGATGTTAAAATCAGAGTGATCTCAGCAATTCTGGATATCGTAAACTGTAGCACTGTCGCACTGTCCTCCCATTATACATCCATTTGCTCTAGCAGGCACCAGTAATGTCTCCATTGTGAAACTTGGTGTTACTGTTTTTGGCATATCAAATATGCCACGGGGAGCCTGCCATGCTCTGCCGTGCGGGTGGGATACTCTCGTTAGCTTGCTGGGCTCTCCGACAGGGATGCAGTTATCGAACCCAGGTCCGCTGCATGCAAGGCAAATGCTCTACCC